GACACCAAGTTATCAATATTTAACCGGAAGATACGATAGGCAAGTTGGGTGATTGTAGTCAGAGGTGAAGGCTGTACCACTAGTAGACACTTTACCATCACTATCCAGCTTTAATTTTTTATTAAAAATATTAAATGTCTTTTTAAATTATTGGTTATACAAATGTACAATCAACTTTCAGGAAGGGGGCTGCGGCCATACAAAGGCTGCCTGAGGAAATACATAAATAGGAAAGACGGGCTACGATAGAGCGGTTCGAACCTGGGACTTCCGGGTCACAACTTGGTGACCACTTTGACCACCACCGCCCAATTGTAGGCAATTATCCCGTCTTTCGGCTCAACACCTCGCCTATTTTATTCAGGATTTTTGGTGTGTCACTCCAAGGCCCAGGGTCCAGGTAACCAATTTTCTTCAATGAAGAAGAATTTGGGATGCCTTTATACTTTTATATTCTAAAAATATTGTATGAAAAGTAAATATAACGCTCACGAAACACCCCGTGTTTGTGCTCCATGCACTGACGCACCAGTCTGTATTTATACACTTTGCTTACACATAATCAACGAGTATTTCACAAATCCACGTGGTTCTTATTCTCTCCCCTTTGGATTGATTCAGGATGTAAGTAAAGAACTAGCTGAGTGCAGAGAGTCCCGTGAGAAGTATCTGGACCTGTCATGCAAAGGCCTGTTTCAAATTCCCGGTGGTGCACTAAAAGAGTTTCACTCTATCAGTGATCTTTTCCTCTATGAAAACAAGTTGTCCAGTTTACCATCCAGTATTGGACACCTGACAAATCTGCGTCGATTATTGCTGCAACAGAATCAATTGACGGCTCGAGGTATACCCGAAGAATTTGCCAAATTGCAAAATCTGGAGCAATTGGATTTACGAAAAAATCGATTGGAAGGAGATCTTCCAGAACCCATTTGGAATTTACAAAACTTGGACCAGTTGTTACTGTCAGTCAATAAGCTGACCAGTATAGAAGGCATAAAAAATCTTCGAGTAAGTTTTCATGATGTCTACTTTTTCCTTGTGAACTTTTACATTTTTGTATTTCATATAAATCTTATATCTCACTGCGAATCCATATAATCTTCCCTCAGAATCTCACTGTCCTTATGATCAAATGGAACTCCATTCTGAACGGTATCCCTCCCTCGATTGGTGGCCTTACCAAACTAGTCGCTCTCGATCTGTCCTGTAACAAGATCACATCCCTTCCAGAGAGTGAGTCCGCAATGTCCTGTATTTCATCTCTGTACACCACTTGGCGTCTGACATTTGTGAAAATCGATTGTTTCCTTTGAAACCGAAAACACTAAAGGTGGACAGCCTAGACTGACGATCCTGTATCGAGTTTTGCACAATTGTATCGAGATGCTGTTTCAGTATTGATACGTCTGTCCTGTTGAGGCCCGTTCGTTGTTTTCTAAGCCCGAACCCGGGTTTGGTTCAGTTTTCTGCTGTACTGCACCCCTCAGCAATTCGAAATAGTGAGCAAATTCCAAAAGATGCGATATAGCACGTTAGTCAGTAGTACACAATTTTAAGTAGTACGAAAAATCGCTTGGGAGATTTGCGACAAAATAAATAGGAACGATGGAAACCACGTTACTTCCGTTACTTGTTCCTACTACTTATAGTTACCTATTATTCATTCAAAGTTGAATTTAAAATATACAGTCTCCCAGTCTTTATGCATTGAAAAGATCGAAACCTCATATAATACCCTCAGCTAAGAACTAGAACAGTATCCTCGGTGTTCAGTCGTTTTCACTTTCAACTTTCTATTTATCCCCAAACTACTTTCGTTTGGGAAATTTTGTAAACTCAATTACCGAACTTCAATTCTCAATAAAACCCCATTGGATTGGAATATAAGGATAATGATCGAATTGATTACATGGCGTCTACCATGATCCACAAAGGTTTTAATTTCAGCGGCGTCACAAAAATAAAGTACAGTTGACAATTCATTCCAGGTTGTACATATGTGGTTTAATTTTTAATTCGTTTGGAAAACTATTTATGTTTTATTACACACTTTAGTGAGATGAACAGCTGGCACAGGGTAAACCCCGTAGTCATGAGGACCGGCAACCTAAACACCGGGACTTGTAGTGACGAAACATACCACTAGATCAGGCGTGGTATTGAACCGAACGACAGCAAAGCTGCATCCCACCAAATTTGGGTGGTGGTGCTGGTGCTCGTGAGGCTCACCTTGGACAAGTGAAATATCTACTATTGGGTATATGTAGTCCATTGATTTTTCCGTATTCCAAACTCCCAGCGTTCGCTGTGCAATCTACTCATGCTTTTCTGTTGAAAACTGTGCGCCATATTATCAGTGGAGACCCATTCTTTCGTTGGTTTTGTTTTTTCTTTTGCCTACTGAGATCGGTCGGTACGTTCGTTTATGGCCAGCGTTAGTCGACACCAGTGCCGCCGTTGTTCGTCATTACCTTATGGACAGATTGAACTCAATAGGTGACTTAATTCAGGAATTAGGAGTGCATCGCTCAAACAGTAAGGGACTTGCTGGATTCAGGTCATAACTGTTACAATGACCTTTGGCAAGTGATATGTCCGATTTCGTCAGTGCGCTTGCAAGGAAGACTGTGATTATCGTTATTCCATTCCCACAGGCGCATCAGTGCGACGGTGGTTATCAATCGATTGAAGATCCTACTGACACCCCTCCCCTGTTTCCCAGTTAGGTCAACCGCTATTATCGTGCACCCGTTTGCACAGTTGTGTTAGTGCGACAGCCTCCATAGATCAACAGAATTTGACTCACATCAATGGGGATAATCTTATGGCAGTAAAGATCATCGTGGCTTTGTTGACCACTGCCAAAAAGGTGATCACAAAACCTGGATAAAGACATTCGAATGTCCCCCACAGCTTTCTAGAAAAACCTGTGTAAAGTACAAAAAATATCGGCGGCAAATAATAAATCGTCGTTTGTCTTAGTTTGACTCTCCATTGGATATCAACGGTTCAATACCGCACCTAACCTTTCGGGGACTTATGTGGTTCACCACTTCAAGTCCCGGGGCTTAGGTTACCGGTTTCCATCATTTAACTGCAGATCTTCGTGACTATGGAATTTACTCCGTTTGCTTTTCATCACACCAAAGTATGTAATAAAAAACAAACAAACAAATGCACTGTTCGGGCCATTCGTACACTCCAATAATCGACCCAAAATTCGAGCATTTGCCAAGACAAACAACTTAAATTGATCTGGTAATTTCTGCACTTCTCTGACTGAGGTAACTTTTGGTGCATTCACAGCTTCATATCCATCTTTTTGGGGACGCTTAGATTTGCTCGTTACAAGTTGGCTCTAAATAGCGTACTTTTTCACCGACAAACTCCAAACAGGCTATTTCTTCAAAAGGTGCTCATTAACAGACAATGGGCAAAATCTTTGATTAGATAGCATCTATCCTTGAATGACTAAATCCTTGGCTGTTTCAATGTGAGTTTGAATCTGGCTTTTATGAAGAGCCGACATGCAAGCTTTTTTGACCAGATGCATGGCCATGAAAACATCAATTTCGGCTTGTGTTGGATTGCTCATCCTCTACTAAAGATAAAACGTATTCCATTACATATTTCCGGAACGACCATGGGGCAGACCGAATCACACCCTGATCCATTGGGTGTAACAGTTAAAATCAGTTTAGAGGCAACGATATTTATTTTACTTTCGAGAGTACTTCCGCTTTGTTATGACATTGGACATTATTTATAAAATAGAGTATCTCTGATATCAGACAGCCAACTTTGGAATAATGCAAGTTATCCATGCGTTTTCGGAATAGTTATAATTACGGGTCCGGCTTTTGCCGTCAATACCATCGGGACCAGGATGATCACGGACGCCCTGGTCCCAAGTGGAGGCTCGCCCTTGCACTCTGGCGGGTTGAAGCCTGCGACGATCCCTAATCGGGCTCGCTCGCGCGTGCAGTTTTTGCCAGTGGGGAGATCTTCGGACCATCCCTTTTCGGGCGGTGGTGGCCAAGTGGTTAGGTCACCAACTTGTGACCCATAAGTCCCGGGTTCGAACCGCTCTATCACCGCCCGTCTTCCCAGGCAGCCTTTGTATGGCGGCGGCCCCCCTTCCTGAATGTTGATTGTACATTGCTATATTCAATAAATAAAAAAGGAAGCAAAAAGATATCTACATTTACATTTATTATTACATGGTCTAAAATTGGGGTCTAAGGCGTGAACAAATAGAACATTCCTGAGTTATTGCCTTGATATTATCGAGAGAAAAGAGCAGGTTTTTTGTGCGGACAAAATGGTACAAACGTGTGACACCGGGGTGGCACCGGCTGTCGTGAAGTCGCTTTAGTTCATCGATTGAGTGAATCTTGCGCTCGTATTGGCTGCAGGATTCTCCTAACCTAGACGGTATATCGCATAGTAGGAGAATTGGGAAAGCTCGATTTGCCAGCGTTGTATTTTGTCATTCTTAACTTTTCTGCTGACTTTCATATCATACATAAAGGTAACAAAGCATCATCATCATCATCGTACAGCGAAATACAGAGAAGCGAACTTCACTGGTCGCTGCCAAACTCGCAATGCATATGCAATGGGGTTTGATGGGCGGGTACTGCTAGTGTCCAGCCACTAAGCAATAGAACAATTAGGGTACTCAACCGAAGTCTTTAGTTCTGACAAGAACTTAGCAGCAAGGCAGCGGGTGAAGCGAAGTGGAGGGGGTAGTTGTAACATCAAAAAAGATCAATAAAACAGTTCGTCCAGGAAGGTTTTACTAATTATATTGTGGTGGTTTTCTCTTTGATCAAACGAATTCCTGCCTAAACTTGATCCTCCCCTTCATTTAAAGGCACTTTGTAAATTTGAGATTGCTTTCATTTCAGGCATCGGTAATTGTACTTCCCTCCGAGATTTATATCTGCAACACAATAAACTGACCAGGCTCCCGGACAGTATCGGAAACTTAGTCAATTTATGTCGGTTAGCTCTGAAGTAAGTTTTCATATTTTCACCGTCTTATATTCCTCCACCTTGGCTGCTTTCATTAATTTCTAGTTCTTACATCATATCATGGAAGCATTGACCGCAGTTGGTTCTTCGAACATGTTAATTCTAATCGTACAACGCAACGTGATCATCAATCTCAAGTTCACCATGCGCACCAAACATCTTCCCCCAGTTAATTCAATACATCGTTTATTTATATCTCAACGCGATAAGAAACGGTGGTTTGATGAAGAGCAGGATTTGTCTCATATCTGTTCTCTTTTCTGTACATTGATTGGTTCATCATCTCACCTCCATATAGCCTTCAAACTCTGGAACACAAACAGCGACTGTAGAGTGTGACATAATTGAAGACTGCTGTGTTGTCTCAATCGTCCGGTTAAACTCACTTTTCAAACACCCACCATATTTTCTCGTTCAAGCAATAAGAATGAATCAAGTATGAAAATATATTTGAAGAATGTTGTACTGAAGATAAAACACTTATCCTTGAGCACAATTAGCAATAAACAAAATGGTTAAGTTACTGCAGAAATGGAAAGGGGAAGCAACAGGAATCGGAGATGGAAGTGAACATTTACAAATGAGGTCCCGGCGCCATCGGCATACTCTAAAATTATTTCGTATATGGATGTTAACTCGTGAAGAAAAGTTTGAGTGTGTGGAGGTTGTAGTGCCCCGTATTAATTACGATTTTTTTCAGGAACAAACCCTAGTACTCACCGGTACACTTAGCGAATCACCCTCTCGATGAAAGCATATGTAAATGGCTAACACCAATTTCTTTCAGTATGGTTTCAGTCATCTGATACAATGCTGCTCTAAAAAACCCGGGAAATACCTCTCTACTATCAACCGAATTTTGCATGCGTAGCACCGCATCAACGGGGTAGTAAGGAGTCATCTGTACACGAAAACCGCTCATCTTCATGAAGAGTAGTGCCTAATGTAATGCGGGGAGATTTTAGAACACCAGCGCGTGCTAGAGGACGAAACTTACCTAATTCAGTCTTGGTCGCTGGGCTTAGATGCGTGAATGTGATTGTACACTACTGGGTGTACCCGTTCTAAATGAGTGAATTTTGCCAAAAATAAATGAAGAAGCTTAAATCGGTTGCTGTGAATTTGGCCGTAAATATTGTCACATAACAGATTGAGCCTGACAGTGGAATATTTAATCGTACTCAGAAATGAAGCATAACTTACGTTCAATAGGAATTTCAGTTTATAATATATAAGACGATAGTTTTTCTAAGAAAGTCGCCAGCTACATTCAAATTGAGTGTTACTGCATTTGGTCACGGTACCATTCGATTGCACCGGTTGATACTCGCTTACTCCAGATAAGCGTTTGGTAGCGTAATCAATTTTCGTTGTCCCAAATTTGTCAAAATGCATTTTTCTAAGCAGTCACTTGTTTATGACCACTGGAAAGTTGATTTGAGTATGCATAAAGGAAGGCACCAAAATAAAATAATACTTGGTGTGTGGGTACCGGATAAACATAACCCGGCGGACGGCAAAAGTCGCAATGCAGGTCATATGCTTATGTGAGAACTTAGACCAGTCATATGGGCAATGCTCTTTGGCAACCGAATCCGGTGTTAAAAAAACATCTTCAGGACACTTAACAGACCGAATTTGTAGTTCTCGCCGAGATACTCAAGAGTACACTTTCAATTTTCACACCACACTGGGAATCTATTCGTTGAGAGTCGGTATGTTTGTGAGAAGTTCAACTCACTGCTCTTCGTAATGGTGGTTTCAATAAAATAAACGATCCAGATGCTAAACACCAGGATTGTAACAAGCCAACCACAGCTAGCACATCCAGGGGAATTGGTTAAGTCTGATTTCTAATCATATATGACGAGGCTCATTCATGGTGATCGCCTCGATTGGGTGATAGGATGTATTCGATACTGAATGTGTAAGTCCCGTTCAAAGGACAGATGTTTGATTCATACGAAGTACTCCTGGAATATGCTTCAGGTCTGTCAAATGAGATTTCTTTGTTGTTTCTTTCACGATCCACTGTATCGGAATATCTTTTTGCTCTGAACAAAACGAGCAAAACAAGAATGAAACCGCACAGTTGTCCGTCTAAAGATGGGTATGAGCAATACGTTGGTCTCGAGATTCCTCCGAAGTACCTACATGGTGAGGTGGAGCGAACGGAAATAGTTTGTCTTCTTGTCTTTTAGCTGAATTTTCGAATTTTTCGAGCTTTTCTTTCATTCTTGCAAGTTATCATACGCGGGTTGGATCCAATCCTATCTTGAACATTCAATACGAACAGCCTTATTCATTCTCATGTCTTTTGGTTTATAATCAATATGCATGTTCCTGGATGGACGAGTGTAATAAAATCAGAACTCAATTGTGACCAGGTCTTGAACCATCAATCGCCCTTCCGATCACCCCTTTTTGCTATGTCAAGGTACAATCAACTAACTGAAGTCCCAGCCAGCTTGGCGAACTGTACACGTTTGACGGAGTTCAATGTGGAAAATAATCAGCTCACCACCCTTCCGGTTAGTCCCATAATATGTTTCTTTGTCTATTCATCTTTGACTGTCTCTCATCATCATCATCGTCGTCATTTTCGCTGACTCGGTTGCTGCTTCTAACTGTACTGTAAACTCCCACACCGAAATCCACCAGGTGGCTATCGTGTTAAGTGATCGGGAATTTATAGACAGTTTCAGTTGGTTGATGTTCAAAACCTGGTTCACCCACAGCACGCGCACCCCCTAATTGCCTATCACCTCATGGGCATGCTACACTTTACAACATTTACAGTTTCCGTTGATAAACTGAACCAATCTCTTAAGCTACTAGTCAAATTCCATCAACTCGAGGAAGTGTTTTATACACAGAGAGATGTATTTTCGGCCCCCAAATAGTCAACTTGATGTGAAGTGTTAGCTGGACTTGTGCTGACTCGTTCGACTGAGTCGCCCTCTGCGGCTCTGTCATTCGTAGGAAATGACTTGAGCCCAGTAGATATCGTTCGCGCCGTCGTCATCGTTGGTTTGACTCCGGTCTAGTCGCCGTCGGTTCTTTATTGTCTGTCATAAGCTCATGTATACCGTTGAATGCTCCCAAGATTGCATAGCTAAAAAGTTACGGAATCCAGTAAAAACAATTCTGCTACTGGCTACACAATAAAGAGTTTGTATCAAAGATACGCACGTGACATGCGTACCGCCCAAAATATTTTTAACCCTACCGACAGTGCCCGTATCCGCGTGGATATGAGCTCCATGGATCATTTTGACGAGTATGACAGTTGTACAAAATTTGATTTACTGTAACTAGTGTTTTTATAGCGGATGAATGTGCGGTTTTCGCACACCGCCCCGCTACCTTGCGGGTTAGGCTTTGGTTAGCCAAAGGCTCCGGTTGTGGGTTCCCCAAGAAAATTCACCTGCCTTGGCCTGGGCAACCTGGCAGTATTGGGTCCACTTGCAAATCGTGAAGCGCTTTTCTTTTTATAAAGATTATTGTACCACGATTTGTTTGGCACAGTCTGGCACCAGACATATGTGATATATATATATATATATATATATATATGTGAATGACCAGCCAGTCGTACCAACTTTATCCCCATCCATTTCTACGCGTTTTCATCTAGGAAAACGTTCTGGTTTCCCTACCGGAACTAAATTCGATTACTTTATCCCGGAACGGGTTTGTTAACTTTCCCCCGGGGGGACCGGATCAATTCAAACGGTGCTATGTGAGTCCCTTCTTCAATGTGAATTTCAACTTTTTGAAGTCAGTCTTTCCTTCATATCCCTCTTTCCATTCTCAGTGGTGCTTGAACCCACCCAGATCTCTGTTACCACTGTTTACTATGCCGTAGCGCAGCAGAAGACTTGAACTGAATTCCATTTCGCCTGTTCACCGAAATGGAATTCAGTTCACCCGAGCTACGAGAACTAATTTTCAACATTTTGTCAAGACTTGAACTTTGTCCGATAGTTATGTCCCTGGAGCATTCTCCACCTCTTCGGTATCCATCACTTACCCAGCTCCCACCTGTGACTACAAGAAGCTGAGGTATGTATAAGTGGCCGCCCCTTTAAACCACTCGACATGCTGGATGATTTAGGTTGGGAGTATCCGAGGCGTAAGACATCGGCGAAGAGGCTCATAGCATGCTCCCCCGGTGAGAGGCTAAGGTTTTTCGGATTCGACGGCCAGCAGAGATACATAAATACCTGAATGCCAAATGAGCTCGCAGTCAGCCATTGGCAACCAAACATCGCCTAGGTGGTGCAGAAATTAGCGGTGTACCCTTAAAGCAAAGCCGAGTGACATTCGGAACTTCTCTTGTACAAAACTCCTATAAAACTTCTAGACTCCAATCTATCTATCTATCTATCCTCTCCAAGCAGGTATGCACAGTTAGAATGTAAGATCTGTTCTTGTTCACGCTTACTTAGTTGGTTCTTGCCCTCAGCAGCTAGGCCCACTCACCATCCATCATATACATTGGTTTCTGGCTTGTACATCTTGTGAGCTTGGCAGCANAGTCCAGTTTACTGTTTCGCTTTACGGTGACGATGTTGAGGATTCTAGTGCTAATTCTGGGTCTGAATTGACTATCTGTTCGTTTGTCTATATTATTTTTCGTCCTGAGTTCAGAATTACAAGTTTTTTATCTTTCACTACTCCCGGTTCCATTCTCGTTATTATTATTATTTTCGTTATGCGTCACCTGGTATCAGTAGTTTTGATAGATAAACAAGCACCGGTGTTTTTTCGAATTGTTTCCAAGGTGTTGGAAACACTAGTTTTGTGAATTCATTTTAAATTTTGTGTCTTCTCTGTTCTGTTTGTTTATTTCAATTCTCGCGATAGTCCCTCAACCTCGAGCACAATCGTATCGTGCACATTCCGCCATCCATATTCTCTCGAGCACCAAAATTGACCCGATTAAACCTCAACGACAATGCGGTGGCCAGTCTGGTACCCAGTGGTAAGTGTTCAGATTTTTTCGATGCCGCTCTTGCTCTCCCGTGCAACATTTATCAATTCAGCTTGTCCATTTCCTAATTTTGCTACTGAGATTAAATCTAGGTACTTCGTTGTCGACAGACACTCAGTTGCTCTCTCTCTCCACTGACTGCTCTGGTACAAATAGGCACAACGCATGTCTCAAATAGACCTCGACCTACTGGTTTTGAATAGAAGGAAACTGAGCATAGTTTATATGGCTGGGGAATTGATATCAAAAGCTTGTACACTAGATGGACTTTGTGTTGAACCTCATTAGAGCAGGGATCTACTGCTCGATTCTGGGAACTATCCCCACGACTTCTATTGGAGGACCGTATAGGACTCAAATTAAGAGCTTTCTATTGCTCCGAGGGAGAAAGAGAGCGGCGATATGCACCTTTAACTTCCAAGCCTGGTCCACTTCATTAATTTTTTTTATTACACACCACTGTGTGTTGAACAGCAGACGGGACGGACCCTATAGTCACGAAGACAGGCAACCTGATCCCCGAGACTTGGAGTGGCGAACCACATAAGGCCCCGTTAGGTCAGGCGTGGTATAAAACCAGGCTACAGCAAGAACCACATGGTCCAAAGCACGCCGATGACAGCGACTAAACCACTACGCCACCACCGCCACTTGAACTATTAACCTTCCTGCTACCGACTTGAACAGGGAGATTTTACGATTGTCTTCTGTGTCTCCACCGGGGCTTAACTGTGAAACCGAATTCCTGAGCTGCAGGTTTAGCAGTTGTATGAAGTATATATGTTCTTGTTTTATTCGATGCAAGTTCACAAACACGGTCCCACATGTTTTGTTTTTCTTTTATAAGTTTTAATCTTCCTACTTTTGTCAACTTTGCCATATTTACTTTGTGTGCCAATCGTTCCTGTTTCTATTTCCGTGAGATAAACTTTACTTATTTTTACTGTTCTTTGTCTGTTGGTGGACTAACCATTTGATCGTTTTTAAAAATTCTAGATCTTCACCAATGGAAAGCCATAGTTGAACTCGATTTAGGCACAAACCAACTGACCGCTCTGCCCCCAGAAATCCGTCATTTGGAAAATTTGGAAGTCCTCGGTCTGAATTTGAACCAACTCCGAGTAAGTGATTACTCTCACCGTCTCATTTTCCTTTTTGTTACGTAATTCACGAAGCGATTCGATTTCGTAGTGGTTTGCGTGTGCAGTCGGCCACACCGCCTCCGGTGACATTGCCACGTTTTGCGTATGCCTGACTATAGCCTAACTCTGAGTGGTTTCTTTGCACATTCTGGTTATGGCTGAACAAACCATGATCTAACTCAGGGATATGGAGAAGTTAGCTCTGGCATTACCTTCAATTGGTGCTGCAATCCTTCGACGTTGGTCCCAAGAAATAAGCACTACCAATGTGTAGGGATGCTGGAATATATATATATATATATGACAGTTTTGTAAACAACGGTGTTGATTGTTGTTTTTGTAGC